GGGGCGTTATTGGGTTTGTATGTTCACGCCGTGCTAGCGTGAGTTTCCTCCAGGTGCTCCAGTTCCCTCCCGCAGGTCAAAGTAATGCTGGTAAGTTAATTACCTTCTGGAAAAACTGGCCCTCGTGTGAGTGGATACACTACGTGTCTGTGTTTCTGTGTCTGCCCTGAGATGGGCCGGTGTCCCATCCAGGGTGCACCCTGCCTTGTGCCCATGGCATGCTGGGATAGACCCTAGCTCCCCCGTGACCACTGAACCTGATAGAAAATGTGTGGATGAAATCTGGGCAGTTGTGCCGAATCACTATATAATTATAGTTCTGCTAACTGCTAAAACCCTATGGTCCACAAGGAGAATGAAGACTCTGTCGTGTCAGATTTCAAGAAACAGGTGGATGTATAGTTAAAAGTAGAATTTAAATCAAGGGATACTATTTTAAAATGGTGTAATGCACTCAGTGTTTAAGGAAATGTCCTACACTGACAGGCTGAAAGAACTGGACCTTTGTAGTCTTGACCAGACAGGACTATGAGGGGACCTAATAACAAAGTCAATATAATACATGTCTTCTTGATCTATAGTGAAACATGAACCATAGGACACAAGTAGAAACTAAAGCGAAGAAAAACTAAGAATGGGAGGCACTTCTTTACACAAAGGGAGGTGGGAGTATGCTACCCAGCCATATATTTGAAGCTGATACTCTGGTTTCCTTCAGCTCCTAACTATCAAACAAGCCAGATGGGACAAATTGCCTCATTTCGTTTGTAACTTTTATGATACTTTTACGAACTCCAGTTGTGGGAACACACACTGCAAAAGAGACAATTAAGTGATTTGAATAATTATAATATTCTTAAAGTGTTTCTAAACACTATGCCACCATTCTGATTTCCATTCATTTTCACTAGTCGTAAATGAAGAATCATGCTTTGGCTTCTATCTGCATAATGATTTTTCAGCCACAGTGTTATTTTTTTCTTTTCGGTCTCGTGTTTTGAAATTCCAGCATGTTTGTCATGTTCACACAGGAAAAACAGTCTGGTGTGTTGAACCAGAAAGTGCTCTAGGCATCACTGCTTCAGCTAAGATTGCATGTTTGCACTTTTCATGTTCTCTTGCCACGAATGCAGACTTAGTTTTCATCATTCAGTCATTTTATCCAAAGCAATTTATTAGGGATTAGGGGTTCAGGATGGATCAA